AATTGAAACTTCATAAAAAGCAAAAGTCCATTAAACAGCCAAAAGAGACCACTAAAGTGTAAATTTATTCCTGTGTGAATCCTCTTCTGTGCTCCATCACCAAAGTGACAAGCAAACTGCTTACCAGATGGTTAGACCCCCAAAATTATAACTGGTCTAATTGTGCTTTCAAATCTGCCAGAGAGGAGGAATGATTAGAAAGGACCAATCTACCACAATGTCGTCAGCCAGGGTTATTACACCACATTAAGCACAAGAACTCCATAGTGAAAAACTGTAAAGCTGTATATTATCATATCAGCCGTATTTTTATCATATCAAAGAAAGGTACTCTTAAAGTATGTATAGAGACAAGCCTGAAAACAAAGTCCTGTTGGCTGATTGGGCACAATGGCATCAACTCTAGGGAATCTTTAAAACAATTTACAAATTAAAGATTCTAAATAATATAACACAAAGGATTATATAAAATATAAAGTTCAGCTGTTACATAACCAAACATAAAAACTCATATATATTATTTAACTATTATTCATTTCTATTAAAACAATTCAGGCCCTATTCGACATCCAGTCCAAATGGGATGAATGAGCAATAATTATAGTACAAGGCCTCCTGTTTAATTCTAAACCTGCAACCTGTAAAGGCCTTTGAAATGTTGCCTATGGGCAATTTAATGTACCCTAGTTTGTTGCCATTCCATGGGAGTGCACAATTTTAAAGTGTAACATGCTAGATATCTATTTACTTGCCGTAACATCTGCCTTTACATTTCATGTGGATATTATATTGTGTTTGTGTGCATTAAAATCCAAATATTTTCCTAAAAAAAAAGCATTTAAAAAATGGCTGCAAACATATCACTCAACATAAAAAAATGCAACAACCACCATTTTATTCTCCAGGGCCTATTTTTTAAAAAATATATATATAATGTTGGGGGTTCTAAGCAATTTTCTAGGGAAAAGAAATGCCCTGGCGGCAAGTTTTTTTTATCGTAGGTCTATCTTTTGCCAGATAGACCTATGGTGCTATATAGAAAAGCTCCATCCTTGAAGAATAGGACAGCACTAAATGTGGTGGATAGGCCATTACAGATTACTTTATTATTTTAACGTGTTTTTTTTCCCCATGTAACCATTATAAGGTCTGTAAATGAAGTTTAACATCAGTACTTTTATGTCTTGTCATACAACACATGTGTATCTTTGGGAATCTGTGAGGTTGAAGTATGTAGAGCAAACTACGCTGGTACTGCAAATCAAATTGGGATAACATATTAATAATATTTCTAAAGGCCTTAAACACACATTACCTCCCTACATTTTTGAAAGTACACAATAAAAATCCATATAATGATCACAATTGAAAAATTAGACTTTTTAAGCATACTAACTACAATACATCATTTCTAATGTGACCACTGTATGCTTCTCAAGGGATGTTGACATTGTACACATGTATCACTTCACATATAATTAAACCTCAACAATTACTTTCCGATGGGTTTAAAATGTATGAGGCTAGATAGACCAATGAGTAACTGGTGGAGATAGAATAAAGCTAGAGAGATTTTAAAACTTGAAGCAATGTGAATCCACCAATTGGGTACTCTGACATCAGATGATGAAATTGTTTCTTTGAAAATAGTTAATATTACTCAATTTTATTTTATATTGTTATTATTAAGTTTTATGGTTTAAATGTATGATTTGAACATAGCCTGAGAGCATCTTGATTTTATTATCATAATATTTGATATAGCCGAGCATCAGCTGTATCATAGTGGATGTGATATTTGGAAATTAGGTAGCACACTTTCTCAACTGAAAGCCCTAGCACACATTGAAAGCTGCATGCAAGAAAATGTGAAGCTAAACCCTAAAGTATTTTCAGTGGCTAAATTAAAAACAAAATAAATTAAATCAAATATGGATTTTCTGAATATGCGATAGTTTTATATTATTTATTTGCACTTGCCCCAGCACCTCCCAAATAATGACAATATGATGGTTTACCTTTAATAAAAAGAAGTCCCATTTCCAGCAAAATGGACTGCAACCTTTTGGCTCTGAGTAGTGTGTACTAAGCTCTACAAAATCTACCCCCTAAAACAGGTTATGTGTTCAGGTCTATATGATGACCACCTTCTACTGGGGGCCAGGCAAAGTTTGTTAACAACAAAGATGCATGCAAATTTGGGTCCAGAGCATGTTAATGAAAACAGGGTTTATTGCCACATAAAGGTAACCTATCATTGGCATTTTTTCATAGGTTGCAGTAACAACTATGGATACATAGGAGGGATATTCATCAATGCTGTTGCACAGCAACGCATGGCTCAACAGGAGCAGTGAGGCAGATAATTTACAGTAAGAGTTCATATTCATTCACAAATTCCTTCCTCTGCTGCTCTAAAGTAATTAATTTAATTGTGCATCAGTGTGGAGTGAAATTCTGTCTCATCTTCAGTGCTAAATCTTTTGCGGAAAGGTGAAAATCTGCCTCAATTGGCTATCCAGTTTTCAGGAGCTGAAAATGTACAAAAACAAACCTGTTGCGTAAACTTTGCTTTTAATGGTGTCTCCAATTTACTTGACTACCGTAATGTCCAGTGAAAGTGCAATTATAGTTTAATGCTTACCTTATTTCATTTTACCATTAATTTCATAGGTGGGCTGTATAAAGTAAGGCTCACCCACAAACTGAACTGGAGGAAACATGGCACTTACCTATTTTGCATGATTTAGGGTTAATAATAATAAATGTTCATTTAGCCAGCTAAGGCTTTTTTCACTTTAATTATCCAATTATTAATCATAAATAAGCCACAATGGTTGTGGATGTATTTTAAACAAACACTTAATACATAATGGACATAGTAAAAGAAAATGTTTTATCATATTCTGAACTCTGTATTACTATATATTCTGTATATGTTGTTCCGGTATATGATATTAGCGTTAGGTTGTTATGAAAACTGAAGGAGAAATAAAAAGGATTTTGGTCAATTTTATTTACTTTTTTTTTATAATTTTGAGGTTTTCACATTGTTATATATTTTTACAAAATATTTACAATGTTACTAAAAATACACATTTAGCAAAAGACAAAGGGGTTGATTTATTATGCAAATAGACTGTGCTCTTTGTAAGTGCAGTTGAACTTATTCTCTCCAGAGCTTGGTGAATGTGGCAATGCTTCACTTTGTAAACAATAACCAATTAGGTGGTACATGATTAGATGATGAAAATGAGAAGAGCCTTCAAATATCAATAAAACAGGTAAAACAAAAAGAAAACAAAAATGAGAAAATACAAATAAATGTGATTATGGCTGTTGCAGTCTTCAAAATGTGTCTAACTTCTACACCTGTGAACCCTACAAATGTGTATATAGACCATGCTGCCAAAAATGTAAATCAAGGTTGCTAAGCAAAAATAGTTTTGCCTGTGATTGGACGTCTTCAGGAACCTTCCTGAAAATGTCCAATTACAGACTAAGCTAGTTGAAGCAGTGTTCTCCAGCCGGTACGTCACATCTCATCTCTAGAGCACAATCCAGCTTCTGGTCTCAGGGTGGCGGCAGCAGCCATCTTAAGCATACTTCATGTAACTTAATTGAACTGGTGCTGGGTCTTAGGCACATATACAACTTGAGTGCGTCCTAATTGTAAGGTTTTATAAGGTTTAATTAAGTTGGCTGCTTTGCATAATAAACCTTTTCACTGATACTGTTTTTAGAGTGGTAGTGTATTGTGTTGGAAGAAATTGCATCCTGGTATATATGAATGGTCAAATTGGTGATAAGACAGACAGTGGGTCCAAAAAAAAAAGCGCAGTGAAGCCTATCTAGTAATAGAAGGTCCATCCATTGTGGTGAGTCTAAATCCATGTGGGGTCACCTGGAGCACATGGAAGTGGTCACCTGTGTATCTGTTACTAATGGCACCAGCACCTGTTCACCTATCTTTTAGTTTTGAATGGGACTTACTGATACATTGAACATTTGTTGAATTTTCTGGTGTTATGTATTTATTTATCTATTTTCGTAGAGCCTTGCCATAAGCCAAGCTCTGAGGAAAATGAGTGCAAATGCATTTCCAAAGTGCACAGTTTATTTGTCTTAAGTAAATCAACCTCAATGTGTTACCAAAGCCGCAAGTTATTTAATAAGACCGCAAAGCAGTATTAGTCTGCCTTTATGCACCACTTGTCTGATTAAAACAATGGACTGGGCAGTGAGTTCCACTAGTTGGCTAAAAAAATAAGGCAAACTTATAATTTTTATTATTATACTCTATTAATGTACCTATCTAATTAAACAATTATTTGAAAATTATTTTTTAGTTTTGACCATGATAAAGCAAAGCACATACATTCCTTTAAGATGTTAATACAGAATTATACCTAGAATATGAACCATCATCACTCTATTTACAAACACTGCACACAAAAAATAAACAAATGTAAAATTGTTAAAAATAATGGGCCTCATTTCCTTAGGAAATTGTGGTTTCCCAAGATATGCTATTTTTCTAAGTGATACCAGTCAAATAACTATGCATCAACTATGACAATTTTAGATTATGATATATAATTGTTTCACAGTCAATTGAGGAATATTAACGTAATAGAAATATAATCCCAAATACTGTATGTATTTATGGATCAAAGATTTTGATTGGAGGTTAAATACCTGTCTGAGAAGAATCTGAAGGAAGCACCCATTCTTTGAAACAAGCCTGCATAGTATGTTAAGGAACCTGTGTCTAACCAAGAACTAACATGCAGCTCTAAAGGATTTTCTGATTTCTGAGCAGGAAAAATGTTTCCCATGTTAAATAAAATTTGTACCACACTTTATAAGGTTTTTTTGCAGTCCTCTGAAGCAACTGTGGATTTAGGATTCTTTTTTTAATATCTGATGGATTTGTTTTTCAACATGATTAACTAACCATATAATCCCCTTTTTCCTTAAGACAAGCAGGCCTACAGGTACTTGGTTTCCTCTGGGTCTTAGTACACAACAGGCGCGGACTGACCATTTGGAAACTTGGGCACTGCCCGAGGGCCCGGGGTCAGTAGGGGGCCCCATGAGATGCCCCTGGTACCTTTTTCATAGGCTTTTATGAGTTTGGGCAAGGACACAGGGGCCCCATGATCCCCTATTGCCCGGGGGCCCCATGAGTTGTCAGTCCTCCCCTGGTACACAATGCATTAGTTCTTGGCCAGATGGCACTGGGACTGAGTAAAGTGAACAGAAAATAATAGCTGTAGTCTAGGTTGGTCAAGCTTGTGGCCTGAGGGTTGTGGTTGTTGTAGAGAAATTGTACCACAGCCCAAAAGGGAGGCTGGACATTTTGTAACCAGAGAATGGTTCCTAGGTCAGGGCAGGTAAATAGCAAGCATTAATCGGTAAAACGCTTGAGATCAAGGCAGGTAACAGGCAAGCATTAGCCAGTAAACAAACTGAGGTCAGAGCTGGAGGCAATCCAAAAGAGTATTCCAAGTTCAAGACAGAGCTCCGCAACAAGAGAATACAAGACAGGTATAGCAGATCTAGGTCAAACAAGGAAAGAGACAAGGAGCAAGCAAGCAGTAACTCTATCACAATCACAAAGGCAAAGACTGATGATGTTTATATAAGGCACTTATTTCACCAATGACCAATTCAGCTGTGTTTGTTGGGGGGGGAGCAAACTCACTACCAAGCAGCTAATGGAAACAGGTGTCCTGAGAAGACTCATTATCCAGCAATGAATGGAGCAGCTAGGAGTCAGAAAAGACTTGTTAACCCACAGCTGAGGGGAGAAGCTGGAAGGATGTGTAACAGGACCTCATATCATTGGAAGTGATCAGCATCCCAGACACAGATATTGTAGCATGTTGGAAAAATATTTTTATGACTGTTCACTAATGTGTTCCTATTTTTGTGGAGAAAAGGGAAAAGGCCTGTCATGCCCTTCATCCATTCGAAAGCTGGATCAGGAATAAAAAAGCAACAGAACTTGACAGTGCAATACATTCAGGAATGGGCATATTCCTCCCCACATGTCATTTTTGGTGAAATATATACCTGTCTGCGGTCATCTATAATCTGAGACTTTCAAGATAAAGGGATTTTTGTCTTCAGCATTATGAGGGAAGCTAAATGTGTTACAGTGAACAGAAAACACTAGCACTGGGCACTACAGATCTTAGGCAACTACACTGTATCCTGCTACATTACAGTAATATGTTCTTCTAGAATGAAACATTTCTGTTATATTGCCAATTGGCATGGTACCAGACTTAAAGTATGCTATTTGTTTTGGCATTGAAACATACTGTATTCCTAAATGACATAAGACCAAACTATTAACAGGGCATATTTTACAATTAAATGGCGACTGATGCATTATATAGTATATCAATATCAAATATATCAGGGAAGCACCTGAAAAACAATGCATTTTTAGAATCTCTTAGCAAATAAAATCATGAATAATACAATATAACAGGTTTTACCAGCAACTATGCCAAAAATACATTCCTTAAATTTAGATAATGTATGATATGACTGTAGTATAATTGGAAGATAAATATAACGCTGCTTGGTTCTGTATTTTTTGTTTTTAAAAACCCTAGTTTGGATTTAAGTGAATCACATGAATTTGCAAGTTGTTTTCTCCCCCTTTATCTACAATAGTTTACATTAAAAAACAAGGTCTTAAAGAAATAGTGAATTCAGATGAGTTTGTTTCTCCCTTGAGAATGCAATTTAAAACGGTATTAAACCTCTAAACAAGCTTTGATCTTCCAGCAACTTGTCCTCTCTTTTGTTACTTAAAACCCTGCATTATTATAAAGCATGGGCAGATTGCTTACTGTTCCTAAAATATTTACTTTTCTGTCTCCCAGTGGGTTCATTTTCTTTACACAGAAAACGAAAAAATAATAATAACAAAACTTCGGCCTCCACATTTGTTTTCACTTGGTACAAATGGATTAAAGGACCGCAAAACATAAACTATAAGGTGGTTTATGTATGAAGAATTTTAATAGAATTTGTGGGTATACAAGTTTTAGGAGCCTAGCAGAAATTAGTATTTTACAAGTATATGTAAAAACAATCACTTAAATCTTATAAGCTTTAGCATGTTTGTGTAATCTCAAAAGTCATTTTCAATAACTTTGAAATTTGCAATTTTTGTTTGAATGATACCGTTTGATTCTGGTGTAAAGGTTCTTGTTCAGAATATCCTGTTATAGGGTGACAACACTTTCTCCCTGTCTCCTGTTTGGTCTTCTGCTTTGCCACCTGTCACATGCTCTCCCAATGGAGACTAAAAATGGCTTTCCCAGTGCACATTACATGGGTATATTCCCCTCTTGTCACTTTCAAGAAACCCACCCTGAGAAATTACCTGCAGCCATTGCTGGAGTGCATACATGTAGACAGGAAGTGGCTGCAATGAGGCTGAAGGAAAGGACTGCTACTAAACCAGTGACCAAAGCCGACCTTGAGTTTTAATCAAATTTTAAGTTACAAAAAAAAAAATAATCATTCCTACTCTAGTATCATTAAGCCCTGAAATGAAATACCATTTTTACATAATTACTGATACATATAAACTTTATTTGGAATGTTGACCTTAAAATACTATGCCCTGGTTTCTCAAATGAGCTCCTATATTCTCAACTACCACTTGAACCAATGCAGACTACAAGTGGCCTTTGCAACACATGTTACACAGGTATGTTTTACTGTTGTCACTATCAGGAAACCTGCCCTGAGACATGCCAATCAGCTGTAGCTGGAAACTACACATGTAGACAGGAAGTGATTATAGGGGATTAGGACTAGCACTGAGCTGCAATAAAGGATGGAAAAACTGTTTGTGATCCACAATTCTCTAGAAAATTAAGTGTCATTCAGTTAGGGTTTACGACTACTTAAAATGCTAACTGCCTGTAAATTAGGAAAAACAGCAATAAAGCTTCCAGCAAATAGAAAAATGTATCTAGATATGAACTTTAAAGCCCTCAATACCTAAAATGGCAACTGGCATACAACAATAGTAGATATACAATGTGCCAAAGTTGCATAGAGGTTCAAACTGGCCCACCAGATCTCTGGGGGATCCTATGGTGGACCCCGAGTATGTAGGACAAAAGAACCATTAAAACCTAGAAATACAATGCCACATTGTGATTGACAGCTTATTAGGCTGTCAATTATAGTACTTGGCCTGCACTCTTTGACTAACCACCTTTATGTTGCTGTATGTGTATGTATGTATGTGTGAGGAAGCCTTGTAATTACCCTCTTCTGCCCCTCTAGCTACACCTGAAATTAAATTCAAGTTGAAGGTGGGCATGCCCGGAAATAGAGCTGTATGGACGCTTGAAGCATTAGCTCTCCATGAACTTGCACTCCTCTGGCAGCCTCTCTAACAATACACTCCTTCTTCAACCTCCCAGTGGGGTGAGCACAGCAGGAAGAAGGCAAGATGCCACCAGTTAGCTTCCAGCCACACAACCTCTCTGACACACTGTCCCTGGGAACATGGGAGGTGGCAGCTCCCTTTTAATGGAGCTATCCCACAAGCTCAAGCACAATCTCCTCTAAGCCACCCAGACTATTTGGCGGATACAGGCACACAGCATTCTCCAATGGAATATATCTTGAACCACGCTCGCAGCTCCTCTCCACCTCTAACACTGAGCTCACGTGGTTCTCCTGTGAACACTGGTCTGGATCAGGCCTCTTCTACTCCTTCTCTTTCCTACAAAGGGGATGTCCCACTGGATGGTCCAGGAAGCTATATGCCAGAAGAGCTTATCCTGCACTACATTTCTCTCTCTTCTCTTCTCTCCTTCCTGTCCATGCTGCTGCTCAGAGGAACTTGCCACTTTAGACTCCCCTGCTGTAACTCCCTGTGCTCCTAAGCCTCAAAAACCACTAAGATCCAGGGATTTTAGTGTGTCCAGACCATCTACACTACCCTGTGTCTCCCTTTGGGGGAACACGGCAGACATGTGTGGCCTTGCACCACCTGCTGCAGCCTCACTCTCTCAATCTCACCTGTAAGCCTGGTATGAGCCATGGGATACACACACACACACACACACACAGTCAAAAGCACCATAGCCTGCAAGCTGGTTATGCTAAGCTCCCATATGGCTATTCAAACCCCAGACCATATCCAACCCTCAGGTCCTCCTACTACCATGCCTATTTATGATCCCTCTGAACATTCTGTCTAATGAGAATATTTACAATCCATGCCAACTAAGGAGGACTTATCAACTAAGGAAGAATTACTCCAGGATGTCAAAGTAACCTGTCACACAGAAATTAAAGCTCTGAAAACGTATTTATATCACCTGGCAGATAGGGTTAAGTGGAAGAACTGCAGACTACTAAACTAGACATCCACAAGGTTAAAGATCTTGTTGCGGATCACTCTCACGTCTGAGAGATATGCAAAGACACCTAGAGGACTTGGACAATAAGGGCCAAAGAAACAATATTAGAGTCTGCAGACTCCCCAAGCACAGCACAGCACAGGTGAGCACAGACAAACCACACTTGTGAAAGGGATCAGGAACAGCACTGTAGCAAGGAGGTGATCACAGAGGAGGAAGAAGGGTGGTTATGACCATTTTCGATGCCTGTATATCCATTACCAACCAATCCATGGAATGATACCTGTGCATCCTGAAGAGAGTGACATCTTGGTGTATGAGAGATGGTGATTGTTTTCTTTAAGCGATTTGGTCAACCATGAGAGTGGGGGGCAAATTAATTTGGTGAGTGTACACCCAAAAGGGGGGACATTTTATTTTATACACGTGGTGAACTCTTTTGGAGAACTTGAAGATTTTTATGGGACTTTATTTAGGACTTTTCCACATCAAAAGTTATATTTTGATATTTAGTTTTATCATTTTATTCACTATATGATATTTTGCAATACTGAACCACATTAAGTTGTTTCTTTTTTTTGGTCACATTGATTTATTAGAAGTGGCAGCAATGATTTGAGCACCAATTGTATTTGTTGGCACGTTACTTTAAGCGCAGTTTTGTTTGTTTTTGTAAATACATAGTCATTACACAGAGCCACACTTGCTTTATTCCTGCCTTGACTATTTCTTTCTAAATAATCCTAGGCTACACTTACCATGGCTACCATTTTGCCCATATCCTGGTCAGACCA